AAATGCTGAAGAAATTATTCTTTGATGTATAAATGGATTACCATGAAAGCTAAAATGCAAACACAAGTAATTCCAGTATTTATTTAAGGTGGCAATAAAGCGGTTAACAGTTTTTTGCAAGTTCAACTGTAAAATGCAAAGGTGAGAAATAATTTTATCACCCAAAAATGTATTTATAGAATTGCAGTTCATTATTTGTGGGAAGCCTTGAGCTTTATTCATTTACTTATGTAAACTTACTTACCAATGCCATGTCAGGTATGGTGCCTAGTTGGTAAGGATGGGCTTTGTTAAGGATGGATGTCACCTTTGTTGTTTGTCCTTTGTTTTTCTCATTAAAAATACTAATCTTAACAATAAACAATGCAATGCTAAGTCAAATGCTGCTTGAGTCAGGAATGAACTCTTTTGTCTTTTTCTTTTTCAATCTGGAGAGAAAACATGCCTCCCCTTGGTAGCCCAATGGTCCATCTTCCTTCTAACACAGAAGATGTGAAATGGCAAATTCTTAAATTATCTTAAATCTTGGGTTAATTGATTTATCTGGCACTCTCCAATGTCAGTTTGTATTGCTCAGTGACCCTAGGGTGGTTGGGTGGAGTTGCTACAGGACAGTAACATTAGAAAGTCTTGAAGATGGTTGGGTCGTGACTTTACAAACATTATTAGCAAAGGTTAATATCTAACATGTAGGCTCAGAAAGAGCAGGATGGAAATACTTTGGTGCCTTTGACTGTGACTTAATTGTGAAGTGGAATGGGAGTACCCACATATTCCCCATATATCTTGGTAGAATTCAATGAATTAATGCATAAGAAGTATGTAGGGCAGAATAACAGATGAACAGCACCCCTGTATGGTGGTGGTATTGTGGGGAGGGGAAGGTGGATGATCAACAACCTCATCATAGGCTTGACTCTCACAGCATGACAGAGAATTGAGGGAAGACATCTTAATAGTTAATGTGCCCTGCATAGGACACGTACAAATGACTAAGGTCAATAACTGTAGGTCAGTACTCTGTTCAGAAGTCTGTTGCCTTTTAGCATGATTCCAAAAGGTTCCCAGCCCTCAGGGATTGTCTTGTTAGCTCATCTTCTGTTGCCTTTCTTACAGTTGAGAGGCAGCAGTTCCTGTGAATGAAAGCCATGCCTCATTAAAATTCAGAGTTGCTTCTTATTCTTGCATTCCCTAGCCCATCTCCCCTTCACCTCTGTGTGCTTTCCATATCACCAGAGAGTCGGTAGGAACAGAAGGGTTGGCAGAATTCATGTAATCCAGTGCTTCTCATGGTGGGGGAGGGGAGATTTTGCCCCTTGAGAGACATTTGGTAATATCTAGAGACAATTTGGGTTGTCCTACCTATGGATTTGCTATTGGTAGAAACCAGTTTAGCTGCCAAACAGCCTGTAATGCTTAGGACAGCCCCCACAATACAGAATGACCTGGCTTACAGTGTCATAGACTAAGCTGGAGAAGCTTATGAGTTCCCTGGGCTAGAGGACCAGGGCTTCTGGGTTTGGTAGCTGAGTGCCATTTTAACACTGGTGCTAGTTGGCTGTGATTCAGGCTTTAAGCAAAGAGGCTGGAGGAGGGGAGACAATGCTGTCCTGTATTTTGAGGACAGTTTCTTCCGCTGAGCTTAGCCACCTCCAACTGGCACGGTTGTCTCCTTTGTGTGTCTGGCCTCCAGGAATCTTTAGAACTGGAGAGAGCCAGCTAATGCATTAGATACAGTGACAGATCAGAGTGGGTGACCAACTCCAACTGTCTGTGCCAGCTAATGATGTGCTAAGGGCAGACCGAGTCATGCTGACCATGGAGCTACAGCCCTGGAGGACAGTGATCTCATGACCTTTTGGATACATTAATAAGCATTGTGTCACCCAAGACTTTTTTTTTTTTGGGTCCGGTCATGGGGCCTGAACTCTGGGCCTGGGCGCTGTCCCTCAGCTCTTCAGCTCAAGGCTAGTGCTCTACCACTTGAGCCACAACGCCACTTCCGGCTTTTTTCTTTTTGCTTATGTGGTGCTGAGGAATTGAACCCAGGGCTTCTTGCATGCAAGGCAAGTGCTCTACCACTGAGCCACCTTCCCAGCCCCCAAGACTTCTTTAAGAAGGACAAAGCATTTTCCATTGGGAGGTTTTATTAATTTTTGTATTTAACAGGCACATGTGCAATGCTTATCATGTGCAGGGCAGTATTTGGAACAGCATGTGTTCACTAAGTCTATGGCGGGAGTAACTGGGGGTGAAACCCATGGCCTTGTGTGTATCAGGTAAGTGCTCTGCCCCTGAGCCATTCATCGCCCTCCAGGTCTTCATAACCACCCCCAAAGGGGAAGGCCTGTCCAAATCTGTTAGGCAGATACAGACACAAGAAGGAAGAGCCTCTGCTCAAACCTGGAAAATATGGCTCCACAATCTGGGCCTGATGTATGGAAAACTCATACTCAAACTGTCTCTGAACCTCAGTTTTCTCAAGTATAAAATGTATTTGTACTTAACTCACAGGGAGAAGAGGATAAATGAGGATTACTCATGCAGTTGCATGGCATATGATGGTGGAAACAGTAGCTTCTTCTACCTCCTTTGTTGACCTAGGTGCTGTGGCTGGCTAGGATGTGTTTTATAATTCATCTGCAAGCTGCTTAGTTCAGTAAATACCTGGGAGGGGAATTAGGATGGACTTAAGAAAACAAAGGATCTTATAACTATGTCCTGGAGAGAGATGGCAAGGCACCCCATACAGGGCCACATGGGAGACACTGTAGCAGTCAGGAGGCAGAAGACAGTGAGGGAAGGCTCAGCCACTGGCTCTACTGGGGTTTCTGAGGAAGGCCAGGCAAAGCAAGACAGGATACACAGGGTTGATAGCCTAGTGTGAATAGTATTGGTGGACTCTGACCTATCACAGTGGTCTGTAGTTGCCTGGTAGCTGGCTCTGGGATGGTTAAGCCAAAGGAATGATTTGTCTTCTGAGGTGTGTGGGTCATAGAGTGAAGATATGATTCTGGGTTGGTAGGTTCACATAATCAAAGATGTGCTTCAGGCTATCTTTGCTGTCTTTGTAATTTGGCTATGTCTCAGGGGATAGCCAGCAATGTTAATTTTTGATGATGTCCCAAATAACCATAATAGACCAGAAATTTAAATCAGTACTTACAGTGTCTGTGGGCATGATGAACAGTGAATGGGTCTCAGATATTATTAGGATGAGCAAATGTACCAGCTGCTACAGACCTGACAATTGTGAAGAAGCCTCATGTTTAGAGTTGGGATGAGACGATGGCTAGAACCAGAGCTTGAAGATGGAAAGAAACTTTTGGGATAAAGATAAGGATTACTGTCAATGGCTCTTCATTGATGCAAGTGATAGTATCTGAGAATACAAATTCCATGTTAATTATAAGTCTGCATTTCTGTTTCAATGTGTTTCTCTCTTTGCCTGGTTTAGCTTGGGCAAGGTGTCTGGGCTGGGAATTGGGCAGGTGTTTATTTCCTGGGATGATGAGAGTACTTTTACTCTGTTCTTAGCAGAATGGAAAGGGACACTTCACATGTGTCTTAGTTGAGGGCTGGGCTACATCCTCCTTCCCACACTGGGCACTTCTTCCCTGGCCCACTCACAATTCATAGTGTGTCTGTAGTCTGTTTACGTGGGTGGCTCTCCTCTTGGCCAGTGTGTCTTTCTGTGGTGGTGAGTTTCTAGAGGAGAAAGTCTAATTTCCTCTTCTTTCTTCTGTATATTATGCTACCTAAAAACTCAAATATAGGGATAAAGACAGCTTTTTCTCGTACACTGAGATGTTCACACTATAAAAGAATGTCTCCAGCATCTACAACAGCACCTATCACATTCCTTTTGAAGAAATGATTTTGGTCTTAAGTATTTTCTAAATCTGATTATAGACAACTCAGGGTTATCCATCATGACTGGAAGTCTAGACTGTAGCATTTATTAAGTGCTGACCTCGGTAACTAACAGAAACAAACACTTGGAGCATGCTAGAGAGCAAAAAATACTAAAAATCACAATGAACTTGGTCCAGATGCTACTTTGAGACCTTGCTGCAACATGGGGTGTCAGCAACTACAGAACTGTTTGAGGAAGAATATAAATTTAATGCAGTGGGTAGCAGAGTTTTTGTTTTGTTTTGCTTTTTGCTCCAGAACAAGTGTGGTGAAATAATTTTATGTCACTTATCAATCTTGAGTTCTCCTGTAGACTTGTTTGGTAAGGTCTGGGCAATTGAAGCTAGTCTCTATTGTGGCTAAGATGTGGGGTTTTTTTGTTTGTTTATTTTGTTTTGTTTTGGTCTTGATTTGTTGACAGGTATTTCTTTCACAATCATTTGAATAGGCTTTTTAATATTATTTATTTTTTATTGTCAAGGTGATGTACAGAGGAGTTACAGTTACGTAAATGTAAGGTAGTGATTACATTTCTTGTCTAACTTGTCACCCCCCCTCATTTTTCTTCCACTTTCCCTCTTCCCACCCCCCCCCCCAAGTTGTACAGATCATTTCCAACATAGGGTCTTGTGAGTATTGCTGTTGCATTGGTTCCCCCCTTGTCCTTTGTCTCACCATTTTGTTGTTTCCCTTCCCTTTCCTGATTCAGATAAATGTATATACAATACCAGTGTACCAAAATCAAATACAATGACAGCAGAGGATAAACCATAGAAAAAAATAAGTACATTAAAACAACATCAGGAAAGAAAAACCTCTTGTGTCCATGTCTTCGAGTTCATTTCACTTAGTATCATCTTATATGGTCATATGTACATAGCTCTTGATCTATTCTGCTCATCTGCTAAGATCCTTTTTTCTTTAGGCTGCATCAAACACATGCTGGGCAAATGCTTTTCTTTACTGAGTGATCTAGGCCCCAGCTTACATTGGAGAAGTTTAATTTTCCTTATGAAAGAGCCAGACAGCAAAGGGATATGTAGAGGCCAAGAGCATTTTTAAATTTTCCCCATTTTCTTTTACAGATCTGAAGAAAACTCTTGCTGTGTTATTGGATAACATTTTGCAGCGCATTGGCAAGCTAGAGTCGAAGGTGGATAATCTTGTTATCAATGGCACAGCAATAAACGCGACCAACTCCACCACAGCTGTTCCCAGCTTGGTAGCACTTGAGAAAATTAATGTAGCAGGTAAGAATGGCAGTTCTATGTCATGGATTTCAATCCCGCTTTGGACCTGGGGCTCAGTGGTTTTTATTGGCATAATGCGAATTCCATACACTTGGCATGGCTGTTGTGAAGATGTCTACATTCATCTTTGAATAACAGATGTTAGAGTGCTTTTATGGTCTCATCGTGATGTGTAATTTCCGGTAGTTTTCTGACACGTGCACATAAAGAGCTTCTGCAATTGACTTCATCTGAGAAGATTCATCGCATAGTTTGAGTGAAATACAGAAGTTATCTGAGAAACCCAGGCCATTTCCTTCCTAGGCCCCACTCCTGCCAGATATTTTTTAAAGTCTATTAAGTGTAAACGAAAAAGTCTCTTCCCTGTAGTTAGCAGTAGAGCTGCGATTATGGACAATGCCTTGTAAGTGTGTATAGGGCAATGAAAATTCTGGAAATGGGCTTTAGGAGATACTTATGCCCTACCTCATGCTGGCTGGTCTCTGTAGTCATTCCTAGACTTCCCCCATGCAGTTCACATTGGGAGGGGCCATTTTGGTTCCTTTTGAAATTAGAACATTGTACAAGAGAAAAATAGACTAAAGACAGACCCACTTCCAACACATACTGGCCCTGGGTCTTTCCACATGAGCCAAGATTATTTTTATCAGGGTGGTGGATACTGCTTTGTAGGGACTCAGGACAAAGTAAAGAATCCCCCAGATTAGATTTAGGTGAATGGATGGTCTTGAAAAAGCTGTCTTTTGTTGTTGTAGCCAAAATTCTGGGTAGAGAATAATAAAATAAGTAGCTAGGTTACTTTTGCAATTTAAAAAGAAATCTACCTCCATACACTTTTTATCTCATCGCGCCTATTCTCTTGGAAAAATTCATAGATGTAAGTGGGAGAGATTATTTTCCTTCCTACCTCCCAGTGTCAAAACATTTAATCGTTTCATATTATGCAAACTGGTTGTATTACCTTTTATGTTCTTTGCCCTTTAGCGAGTTTTAAATTGCAAAATATATTTCTACTAATCCGGAGTATCCAACCAAACAAAAGTATTAAAAATAACTTTTAATTACAACACAGAGGCAATGTCATCAAGGCCATAAATCCTGTCTTCCCTGCAGTTTCCAACCGTTTCTGTAATTAGACAAGAAAACCTCCCACTGTGTTGAGCTGCTTATTAATAAATGAGAGCCATGTTTCTCCAGTCTCTACTCCCCCATGCCTGTTCTCAGTACAAGATGCTTTTGGAAAGCTCCTATTTGGTTTCATCGTTCTTCTGTGTTTATCAGATTTTGGAGATAGAATGATACATTTACATTCTCCCTTTAGTTTTTGCTACTCCTCTACTGTGCCTCTGTCCTAGAATCCTAGGGCCCATGTAAATATAAACATTCTTGCACTCACTCTTTTCTCTGCTATGGCATCTTTCTGCTTTGGCTGTGTGTGTGTGTGTGTGTGTGCGCGCGCGTGCGCGTGTGCGTGCATGTGCGTGTGCGTGTGTGTGTCCTGGGGCTTGAACTTAGGGCCTGGGTGCTGTCCTTTAGCTTTTTTGCTCAAGGAGAAAGTATTAACTTGAACCAAAGTTCCACTTCTAACTTTTTATTGGTTAAGTGGAGATAATTGTCTCATGAACTTTTCCTGCCCATGCTGGCTTTGAACCATGATCCATATGCCACAGCCTCCTGAGTAGTGTAGGATTACAGGTGTGAGTGATGGGCACCTGGCCTCACTGTCCTATCTTTATGGCAGTCTCACTGAGAGACACTTCCCAGGCTGGGTTTTTAAGTGTCAGCACAGAATCACAGATGACCTCAGGGAAGGGACTTGAGAACTGCTGCTTTCAAAGGGGATACTAGCACTATATTCAACTAGTTTAACTCAGCTAACAAATACCTCTTCCACAGTTTTTCAATCATTGGCTTAGATTGGAGCTCCTTCAAATCTGTCAGTGCCGCTGGTTTAACGTTTGTAGAACCAGAGAGAGGGTTGTGTGTTATGTCTGTCCTTTAGGAAAATAGCGAATTTAGAGTGACACTTTTAGTAATTCACTTTATTCTCATCTATTTGCATTCTTCTTGTGTAAATGCAATTAATAGCTTCAAGACTTTTGTTGGTCAACTAGAGAAATACTATCCATGCATAAAACAATGCAAACCGTGGTCACTGTGAAGTGGGAATGGCTAGGAGGCACCCTGAAGGACAGTATATTCTGGGGGTGGTAGAATTGAGGTACAGTTGCCTTGTGGAGGAGAAACAAAGTAGAAATAGATCCTAAGTCAGGGAAAATAGCAAAGGAAAAAAGGGAAAGGACGCTATTAACAACCATCCACCAAGTACCCATTACTTTTTGTGTTCTTCTAAGCTAGATGAGTGTACATAATCTTCATAGCACATCTGAGAAGTGGTTTCACAGGTGTCACTGAGTTTAAATCATTGGGGAGGGAGCCTACATTGGTCCCTAGTGCCATGGAGGGAAGAAATTCTGAGAGTTTGCCTTTTCTTGTTTCTACTTGTAAATCATTGCAAAGGGAGAAGTTTGCAAAAATGGTCACCAGGACCATTTTCTAGACAAGGAAAGCTGAATCTCTTTGGATATTGAATAACCTAGCTAATAAGGAAGTGCTCTGTGACCTGGGGCCTGCTCCTTGGCTGGCTTTTGGGACATCCAGGCTTCTGTGTGCAGGTCCAACCTTTCATTAGGGCTGGAGTATTGTGGTTGTGTTGGGCATCCTCCTCAGTTTCTCCCCGAGCTGGTGGAGTCTTTTGTATCCTGTCAGGTAATCAACACACACACACATATATATATTTTTATCAATTTGCCATATTTATAGTTCAGAGTACAGAAAAGGGTGAAGACTTGAGTTAGTAGTACTCATTTGTGAGCAGTCATTACTTTTCTTCCCTATCTGTGGTCCCTGACCATACTAGTAGTTCTCAGAGCCCTCTTGTCACTTCAAGAATGGCTTCTGAGCTATGAGAGTTCATTTTTATGGGGGTTCTACTCCTATTTGGTGAAGTTTTCCTTTCTCCTTTCCTGCATCAAGACATGTGGTAATTGCTCAGAAATGTTCTCCCTGGTGTGTCTTTACTGCTTGCTCTGGTGTCTTATTGCTCACTGATGTTTCTGAGTGCTTAACTGTTGTGTCTTATTGCCTGCTGATATATCTTTTGGTTGCCAATAAACGGCTGCTAAATTGGGTGTCATAGCAGTTGAAGAAAGGTTCCCTAGATTTATTTTCTTTAAAGGGACAGTTGTGTGTGTGTGTGTGTGTGTGTGTGTGTGTGTGTGTGTGTGTGTGTCCATGTATCCATCCCCGTCCCCTGCGCTGTCTAGCTGTGTTCTATGTGGCTTTTATCCAAAATGGCTTTTCCTTCCAAATGTATCACCCTTGGGCTTTTTATTATGTGAAATTAAATGTGTCCCTAGAGAAATTTAGGTGGAAATGAACTTTATTAAAATCAAGAATCACATTGAACTGCATTTGGCGAGCTCTGTTTATCTTGTTGGAGAGGAAGAGGAATCAAAGAAATGAAGAAGCAGATTGAAAAAAAAATGTCCCCAGCCTTTTACCAAGCAGATAACACATGAATTTATCCAGATTTATTCTCTGAAAGGGATTGAATATTCCCTTGCCAGAGTTACCTGCTTCCACGGGCTGCGGCTTAATGCTTGCCTAAGTATGAGGCCGTGCATTCCATCCCTACAATCTTCTGCTATCTTCTATCGTCTGAATGGTGTTTTCTAGAAAGATCTTTTTGCCTTTGTGTAGTTTTGTGAACTCAAATGATCCATAGTTCTTTGCAGGTACCAAATACTGAGGAAAAGTTAAAAAAAAAAGTAGATATCTGAGCATAAAAATGTTTGCTTGCTCAAGATGGAGATTGTCTAGTTTCACTTCTGCCAGGTGTTCAAAGCCCTACCTGTTAAAAGCATTCTGTAGTTACTGATCACATTGCTAGGGTTATACTAGTAGAGTTCCTCCTTGTAGTACCTCTTCTCTAATTGTGTTTATGAGGAACTGCTTGGAGATGGGTGTTGCTCTCCTCATTCTAAGCCTCAGCAAACACCACTTGCCTTTTTTTGTTAGTCATGACTGAGCTTTGCACAGAAGATACTGTGCTGTAAAAACTCCATGAAATGCAACTGTTACACTTCTAGATTCCAATATTTTAGAGGACAGGATCATCATGCAACTCTCTACAGTACTATGTGTGTGAACACAAGTGTGCATGCACCTTTACCTTTATTTACTTAACTATCAGTAACCAGTAGTTGCTGTCAGTCAACAATTGGGTAATTAGCCAGCATTGACTATTCACTAAAAGCCCAACATAATGATAGCATCTGCTCTATGTTATGAGCACTTACAATTGCAAGATCAACTGGGAAATGTGATCACAAAATTGTAAGTGCAGATATAACTCAAGTGGATGTTTGGTCCAAAGTGAATACTTGTCAGTCTTGAAACCTTTTGAAATATCCTTTGCCATGTATCACATTTCCAGTATCTGGGTGTGAGGTACAGTAGGTGCTGTTCTTAACAACAGTAAACATGGATATTGTTCTTAAAAACCATCATCATAATTATTATTCTCACCATAGAAAATGTCCCTGCTGAGCTCCAGGCCTTGCCTTTGAAAAGATCATTTCCCAGCATCATGGTGCTAATGGACCTTGAAATAAAGTTGCACCTGTGTTGTTATTTTCTTGTTTGTGTATTTGTATTAATCACTTATGTTAAAGTAACACCTGAAGTGACCCAGCCCCCAGCTCTGGTCAGGTCTTGATCAGCAAGTGGGACCCCAGATTCTGTGGAAAGTCAGGAGAGACATGGGCGGGCACAGGGCAGGCCCCTTTCCTATTCATTTAAACAAGAAACAAACACATTCCATCAATACATGCCACTTTCTGATTTCCTCTTTGCAAAGGCACTAATAAATACTTGGATACTTGTCAGAAACTCCTTTTGGTGTCTTCACAGAAAGTACATCAGGTCATTGTTATGGT